ACAGGGTGAGTTTTGAATAAGTGTAAATAACTTCAGGGCTGGTAGATCTTGATAAAAGAAACATATTTTCTCTTTACCGTTTTTCAAATAAATCCAAAATAACCGAGTTATTTTACTTTGAAAATTTCCAAAAAAAGATTTTTTGCTAAAATTTTGAGAACCACTGGATCTTTTGTGGATTTTCTTTCTTGTAAAAAAGTTTCCAAAATTTTTTCGCAACTTATAATACGAGACGACACAATCTTCTTTTAAAAACTTTATTTTACTTTTACATTAAAGTTACTTATAAAAATAAAATACAAAAGTTAAAATTAATACTTCTAATTTACTTAAAATCACATATCTGTCTGAATATAAAATTGTCTGTTAGAAAACAAGGAGACTCGCAAAATGCACACTAAGCACTATTCGGCACTATGTCAGCAGTTTTCCGTTGTATAACTAGCGCAAAAAAACCTCACAATTGTGTTTCTAGAGTCGAAATATACTACCCGTAGAAATATTTGCACTTATTTAAGACTCACCCTGTATTTAAACAAAACCTTCTAGATATTTAAATATCTGTCATAGTTAAAATATAGCATATTACTAAGAGAGAGTTGTATTCTTTAAGAAGCAATTAAATTATTAAATTAAAATAATAATTATACTAAAATAGGCTAAATTGTTTCATACATACAGTGTGAGTTAAGTGTGAGTTAAAACTACATAATATGCTAGGTAGTTCAAATGGCACTTCCAATGGTGGAAAGCACTGTTCATTAAAATGTTGTATCCTATGTTATAGGGCTTGTTTCTCTCTACAATTTCCTGTCTCACAATGTACCGTTTGTGACCAGGAATGGTTCATAGTTTCATAGATGTCGATTTTCGAAAGAAATCAGAACATGTACATTATTTCGTATATTCTTCATTTATTGATTTTATGGAAAGCACTGTTCATTAAAATGTTGTGTCCTATGTTATAGGACTTGTTTCTCTCTATAATTTCCTGTCTCACAATGTACCGTTTGTGACCAGGAAGGGTTCATAGTTTCATAGATGTCGATTTTCGAAAGAAATCAGAACATGTACATTATTTCGTATATTCTTCATTTATTGATTTTATGGAAAGCACTGTTCATTAAAATGTTGTGTCCTATGTTATAGGACTTGTTTCTCTCTATAATTTCCTGTCTCACAATGTACCGTTTGTGACCAGGAAGGGTTCATAGTTTCATAGATGTCGATTTTCGAAAGAAATCAGAACATGTACATTATTTCGTATATTCTTCATTTATTGATTTTATGGAAAGCACTGTTCATTAAAATGTTGTATCCTATGTTATAGGGCTTGTTTCTCTCTACAATTTCCTGTCTAACAATGTACCGGTTGTGACCAGGAAGGGTTCATAGTTTCATAGATGTCGATTTTCGAAAGAAATCAGAACATGTACATTATTTCGTATATTCTTCATTTTATTGATTTTGTTATTTTGCTGTGTAACACCAAAGGTTCCAACCCTCAACTGTAAACTTCCAATGCTCAAAATAGATATTTATTAAATACTTTTTTAATATTTGCTACAGTTTATCCTTCCTATTTAAAAGCAGTATATTCCAATTTGACCTTTTACCTTATTAAATTCAACCAGGTTTTATTTTATAGGAAGTTCACTTTGACACTTCATACCTCCATTTGACCCCGGAATTCCGATACTAAACGTGACTTACGGCCCACAGCAGACTTTTTTTTTCAATTTAAGTGAAATATATTACCGATATAAATTTATAACGGGGTTGTGGCTTTTCCAAATATAGATAAATGGCAGTGTGCTGAACATTCTGACCGACACTTATAAATTATACAACTGTCTTCATTATTTTGTGTCCTTTTGACGCTTGCATTGGAGTTATCAGGGTAGGGAATGTGTTATGTCTGCATTATTATTATACACTATTAAATTTTGTTTTTTCCATAGCAACTGTTAAAATTGACTTATTTCTGAAATTAATTCGGGGGACGACTCGCGATTTCATCGCTCGTGAATTAATCTTTTCGGTCGACGATGAAATACCATTTTATCGTCTTGTATAAAAATAAGTATTAATATACACTGACTTGAATAAAATTTTACTTTATTTTAAAGTTCAATATATTTTGTTATAGTGCGCCGATTTTGGTATTTTTTTAAGCAATTTTTATAGTTGATTTATTTTTAACCCCATTTTAAATTAAGATTTCCAACTGTCTATTATACAAGAAATAAAAGTGATATTTTGGAGAAAGTTTCAAACATCCTTTGAAATTGTTTAGCAAAATAAGCAGGATTCTCTATCAATAACTCAATAATTCAGGAAGATTTTTTTACAACTGTTTGTTTTTTTATTGGTCTCAGTAACTTTATTTTTATTGGAGACAGTAAAGACAGTAACGATTTAAAGCAATTTTAGGATGCTTTTGCTTTTGGTCGTATTCTAGCTGGTCTTATTCTTCTGGTACTTCCGAGAAATAGTGTTTATTTATTTTGTAATATCACTGTCTTTGAAACGACATATTGCTATTGTTTTCTGGTAGTGACTCTAGCCTCTAGCAGAGATTTTTTGGTTTGGTTTGATTTGATTTGATTTTTAAGATCCGAAATTGATCTCTACTATCTTCAACTTCTGAACTTAAAAACATCTCTGCTACAGTAAATACCAATCTTTGATACCAGTAAACATTAAAATATGACTTTTCGATGACAGTGACAACGAAAGATAACAATAAACATTTCATAGATGTGATTAGAGCCAAAAGTAAGGACATGCGTCTAATGCTAAAATTTCTATAAATCCTCACTATCGAGTTGAATCAAAAAACAAACTATCTAATAGGTGCTCTTTGAGGAAGAAGTGTTTTTACTTTATTAAAAAATTCTACAGGGTGTTACAAATTTTAAACATATTTTGTACCGAAAATAGTTACTTGTTTTTTTATACACAAATAACAGTATCCCATCGGCGTCGGGTGCGTCTCAAAAGTGGCTCACCCCTATAACTTTTTTATTTTTTTAGATAAAAAACGAGATTTGATACGTACGAGTATATAACATAAATTAGGATTGATTGGCGTATTCAATTGTTTTTGGTCACTTCCTATTTCAACGGAAATGACTACATCTTTTGATTTTTAAATGGCACCCTCGGTATTTTTTTACTTTATTCGATAAAAAATAACACTCTCAAAATAATGACGTATCACATGTCAACTTTTGACATTTTCGCATATGGTTTATTTGAAATTCTAACATGCGGTTCATAACGACATTTTGACTCGATATACCAAGTGTGTGATATCAAATTATTCGTAAAAAGATACTTTTTCCAAATATGCTAATGAGCCACCCTCGTTCCATTTCAAAAAAATGAGATATGATTAAAATACGATTTGGGCATCTTTTATAACTGGCTTTAACAAGACACGAAAAACATTAGACGATAAAATCTATTTTTCTCTTCTTCTTGATTAAAAATTAGTGTTTTTAACACAGTCATGGCACTCTAGATTAAAATTTAAAATACGATTTTTTAAGCGAGAATGTCAAAAGTTGACATATGATATGTCATTCTATTCAGAGTGTCATTTTCTATCGAATAAAGTAAAAAAATACCGAGGGTGCCATCTAAAAATCAAAAGTTGTAGTCATTTCCGGTGAAACAGGAAGTGGCCGAAAACACTTGAGTACGTGAATCAATCCTAATTTATACCATATACTAACATACCAAATCTCGTTTTTTTTTATCTGAAAAAATAAAAAATAGGATATAGGGGTGAGCCACTTTTGAGACGCACCCGGTATATACTGTGTATAAGAGATAATAATAAAAAAAGCATAATAAAATTATTATAAATCAAATATAATTTTATGGGTTAAAGGTAATGCGTAATAATATTCTTTCAGCCCTTGAAGGTATTAAGCACATATTACGTACAGGGTCCGGCAATAGTGCGTCGGGCATCTGTAACTCCTAGAATAAAAAACTTAAGTGCAAACGTAAAGTATGTACGAGGATGTATTTCAGGAAAATATTTTAACTTCTATAGTGTTTCCCAAAAAAGTGTGAGTGGATCGGGATGATATTTTTTAATATAACACCCTGTATATCATTGCATTTTTGGCTTCCTTTCAGATTACTTTACACAATCCTAACATATGAATAAATTATATTTCGATAGCTTCAGAGATATTAATAAATAAATAAAAAAATATATATTTTTCAAAACCTTCCTTAAAAAAGTTATTACAAATGGAAGAACTGTCCTTAAACCTATATTCTATTAGATATTTACTTTAGATGATCTATACTTACTTTGCTAAAAATATTGTAATCATAAATCATACAGGGTGTTTAAAATCCTACGACGTCAAACTTTCTAAAATATAAAATATTTTTTTTTCGTTTCTTTTTAAACGGAACACCCTGTAGCAAAGTAAGTACAGACCATACAGTGTAAATACCTAATATAGTTTTGCTTTCAGGACAGTTCTTGTGTTTTTAATAATTTTTTTAGAAAGGCTGAAAAATATATTTTTTTTATTTACTTATTAATATCTCTGAGACTATCGGAATATTATTTACTCATACCTTAGGATAATATAAAGTGATCTGAAAGGAAGCCAAAAATGCTCGCAAAAATGCAGTAATATACAGGGTGTTCCATTTAAAAAGAATCATCCCGATCCACTCACACTTTTTTGAGCCACCCTATAGAAGTAAAAATATTTTCCTGAAATACATACTAGTAAGTACTTTAGGTTTGCACTTAAACAAAATTCTCAAGGTTATTATTCTAGGAGCTACAGATGCCCGATGCACTATTGCCGGATCCTGTATATCTAATGTTATATGTGCTTTTCCTGGCTCGACTACCCTCTTGAATAAGTAACCGCCCTCAGAGCCAGCTTCTTTCCGATTTTTAAGTGAGATATACGGGTACGATATAAATTTCTCTAACAGCGTTGCCGCTTTTTTTCCAGGTCCAGATAAACGGGCGAGCGGTGGCCATCCTGGCCGAGGCGCTGGGCGGCGCCAACGTGGACAACTGCCCGCATCCCTGCGTGGCCAGGCCCTGCGGCGAAGACGGCGAGTGTATCCCCGAGATGGATTACTTTACCTGCAGGTAACGTAGTAATCTTTTTTGCCCTAGAGAATTTACGATGGAGCTGATAACGAAATTTTATAATGGAGAAAAGGGTATTTTATTTTAACTGGATTATATTTTTGATCAAATTTTCTCAATAATTCTACGATATTTTTTTAATTTTTATAACATATTATGGCCATTTCATCAGCCGAACAAAAGAATACGAACTTGCACTAGCTATAGCCTTTATAGACTTCGAGAAGGCTTTCGGCTCAATGTATACTAATATATTCAGGTAATAATAGAAACCCTAGCGAAACAAGGTATTGACAGACCTTATATAAAAACGCTCGCCAATATACAGGGTGGTCCGAACGGTATTCCGGAAACTTCGGCAGCACATTCTACAGATAAAAATAAGTAAAAAAGTTCGTATAAATGTATGTCTTAAAATGCTTAGTTTCGGAGATACAGGGTGTAGAAGTTTCATTTTTATTTCAATTTTTTCCAAATAATTTCTGAAGTTAGGTCAATATTCGGATGAAAATTGGTGTCTTCTTCTTCTTTCTTCTCAAACTCTCTAAAATTTCTTCTTCCTCTTTCTTCTCAAACTCTCCTTTTCAGGAGAGAGTTGTGTTGCCTAGGCTGCCAGGACCATTCTGGCAAAGTACTTTTCTGCTTTTCTTTTTTCTTATGTGAAAATTCACCATTTAATCATCCTTAATGACATTAAATGGAAACCATAGTTGGCCATGACTTCATATAAAAGCGCCATTTTGTAAGCTTTTCAGCGATATAAGCTATAATATGTTTTCTTCGAAAAATTACTGAGTTATAGTTGGTTATAGCCAATTCTTATCATTTTTAAACAATTTCACTTAGTTAGCCATGGAAACAAGTTCAATCGCCATTGCTCTTATAAATGTGAAACTGTCACATCCAAACTTTGTAAATTAAAATAAGCAATAATTTTAAATATGAATTTTTCAAATGAAGAAAAACGTGTAGATATTCGCGCATCAATAGAGTGGTTCCAACATGACTTTCATTATGACCCCCACCCATAATGAAAGAAATGTTAAACATTATTTATATCATAATTATGTAGACTCATGTAGACTCAGGGATAGAAAGAGGTGGACCAATTGCATGGGCCTTTATATATAAAACCAATTGTGTTGTTTTAATAGCAGGATTACGGGAGGTTGTTGCAGCCATCCTTAACCGACTCTCTATCTCTAGTAGTTTCCGAGATGCCCATAGAGATCATCCTAGGAAACTCACCCTGTATATATTTAGGACAACTAATACAAAGCTGGGAATCTCTACTACCAGAAATCAACAGAAGAATTAAATTAGCATGGAGTACTTATGGAAGAAACTCAATTATATTCAAATTTAGGATGCAACTTTATCTAAAGAAGGGAAGCATTCGACTAATGTATACTACTAGTCATGGCCTATTCATGCGAAACCGGGACATTATAAGGATGCTGCAAATCGCATAACGCTCAATGGAACGAAACATGCTGGGAATTACCAAGAAAAACCGTAAAACAATAAAGTGGATACGTCAAAAGACCCAAGTAATAGATGTCATCCACAGAATCAAGTCCGTCAAATGGCAATGGGCAGGACACCTGGTAAGAAGGACGAACAACAGAGGGCCACAAAAATTACAGCATGGTATCCACAGAATTAAGGGACCTAGAAGAAGACCGAACCTGAGATGGGACCATGATATTAGGAAATTAGCAGATATAACTTGGACCCGCATAGTCAACTATGGGCTCATCTACAAAGAGAGTATCTAACTATGTGAGGGAGAGGCTACACCATAATTGGAAATGGTTGAATAAACTGAAGATGATGTTGATGGTGATAATCACAAGTCATGACCTAACGAAGAAGAAGAGGATAGCTCAACATAAGATTAATTATAAATAATTTCATTATAAATCAAAAACAAGATTGGGAACGTCGAAACAAGAGAAACAGTGCATCTAACAAGTATCCTGTGAATGCGGTGTGACGGCGCTGGTACTTTATAGTGATTATACAACTCTGACTCTATGTATATTTTTCCTATATAGAAGAATGTGATTAATAAATCATATTCATTAAAGTTATTATCGCTTGGTGGCCATATTGTAATTGTCATTTTTTGAAATATTAATTCAGAAGGCTCTCTGTCAGTTCCACAAAATATCCGAATAATTATTATAATTAAAATGTTTAAGATACGTCAGAAGGATTATTAAAGATATACAGTTTATATCTTCTATGATGGTATGAAAATTTGGCGAAATACGTCAATTTACATATCAAGGGGGACAATTTTTGAGGCATTTGTTGTCATGTTATTTTCAACCCTTTGACCCCCAGGGCACCTACCCCTAAAATTTACCCTTTTTTTAAATGGCAACCCCTATTTCTTTTACCATTTTTGTGTTCTTTATAAAATTCTCAAAAAATAATGCAGTTTATGTAGAATTCTATAAAAAACACAAAGATGGTAAAAGAAATAGGGGTTGCTATTTAAAATTTTAGGGGTAGGTGCCCTGGGGGTCAAAGAGTTGAAAGTAACACGACAACAAATACCTCAAAAATTGTCCCCCTTGATATGTAAATTGATGTGTTTCGCCAAATTTTCATACTATCATCGGCAGAGGCAATATTAAATACTGTTCGTTTTCCAAATTGTCACCCTGTATATCCTTCTTATCTTAAACATTTTAATTATAATAATTATTCGGATATTTTGTGGAACTGACAGAAATGACTTCTGAATTAATAATAATCTTGTGGTATTACCACAGCTTAAGTAAAAACCAGCTCGGACAGTGTAGCGTGCCGCTTTGATCTTTTTACGCTTGGATTTGCGATTCGAAAGAGGGAGAACAGGCGAGCTCTCTCGCCAAAACCAATAGCCGCGTAAGCGCCAGTCAGCCCAGAGATGTATTCAAAAAAATTTTACACGTGACGTAAAAAATTATTCGACTGGTGCTAGAACATAATTTAGATACACGTTTTTTAAATTGTTGACTTTAAATAAATATGCATTCTCAAAGAAAAACATTTAAAAAACAAATTAATTAATTTATTTCTAGAAATAACAGCAAAATGAAATAAGTACATTGATTACTTATAGTTATTTACGAATGTTTCTAAATTAGGAGCTTTCGGTTTTTGTTTGCTACATTTAAGTTCTTAGTAATATTCTTTAAGGTATAATAATTTCTAACTTTTGCGTATAAATTTAACAAAAAATACATTATAGGAAAATTTTGATTGATGGTTGAATTTAATTGTCTGAAATAATTTAACGAATTTACATAATATATTTTCATTTAAGAAAAGTTCTTCAAAATTGTTCTGAAAAATTTTATAAAAAAACTTTTTTAAAAACAAGTTTTTATTTAAATACACTAAAAAGAATAAAATAAACTTTTTCTTTAAAACTTTTATTATGAACTTATAACGTCATTACACAATTTTAATATTATATAAAAGCTTGTCGCGAGATTTGAGTGTACAGTTGCACTCATAAAAATGTGGTACGACAACTTTATCTTGTAATTCCTGGTCTAGTGGTCTATCATAACACAAACTTGAGAATGAAACAGGGTAGACACAGGTTTTAGTTAATTTACTTGTTTATCGATGTAGAGAAATCTCGCGACAAGCTTTTATATATCTAATATTAAAATTGTGTAATGACGTTCTAAGTTCATAATAAAAGTTTTAAAGAAAAAGAGTTTTTGTCATACGCTCCCAAAAACAGCTATTTTACGGACTCATTTCAGTCCGTAAAATGTTTCTTTTTCGGCCTAGGCCGTAAAGGTCGTCATGGCAACCTTTATGGACTAAAATGTCTAAATTCGTTATTTGGTTGTTTTATTTTGTCATTCGAAATTTGTCACAAAATCACATAAAATTATACATATATTTATAATTAAATTATTAAATACTAACAATATCAAAAGCTAAGTTATTTGTTTAAAGTAAGTACCTAGGTACCTATTTAAAAGAGGCTTTTAAATTAAAATATTCTTAAATTACAGTCACAAACAAGACATAATCATGTGGTACATTTTTTGGCCTAAGACAAGCATATTTTCTATACAACTCAACTGGATTGACAACGTTCCCTTCGTTCACCACCGGAAACACTCTTTTGATATTAGTTTTGTATCCGCAAGGGTAACTAAAAGGCAGCTGTTGTCTTTTTCTATGATGTCTTGCACTCGTAGAGAGTACAATTCTTCTCTTCTACATGCTCCACAAAGGCCAATGACAAGAGCTACCTAAAAATCAAATACAATGGAATAAGAAACCATCTATATATTTTAAAATCATTATCGCAAACTTACCTTAGTAAGTAAATAAGTTTCATCACTAGCCGTGGCCAAAAATCACCGATCTTTTTTATGGACAAAACCTTAGACTTTTTAGGCTCGTAACCAACCGAATTCCTCTTCAAAAAAGCAATAAGTTTTGGAAATTTGTCAATATAAATATCTTCTTTAACACTTAACACTGCTCTCAGCATGGAATATTTCGACCAAATTGACGATGGTTTGAATGTTTGTGACTGTAATTTAAGAATATTTTAATTTAAAAGCCTCTTTTAAATAGGTACCTAGGTACTTACTTTTCGTGGAAATAATTTAGCAATACATCTTCATTTACAACGAATACGCCATTTTTGTCTTTCCATTCATTAAAAACATCATATTCTTTCTGGTAAATGGCACGAGACTTCACAGGAAGTAAATCCAACACGATTTCTTTGGCCTTATTAGCAATATGTTCGGGATTTTGGAACATTTTAAAATTGTTGATGAATTTGTGTGATTTTGTGACAAATTTCGAATGACATGTCAAAATGCGATGAAATAAACAAACTCGTTACTAAGATATGAATTTATAAGCCAACTTTTTCAAACATTATAATTTCAAATATGGAAAATTTGCAAATATGCGTTCTAAAAAACTGTAAAAAGCGTATGACAAAAAATAGTGTATGTAACACG